CAGTGGACCTAGCAGCGGGCTGCTGACCTCAAGATGGGCAGTTGAAACCCTCCAACAGCTCTGAGGGAGAAAGAGGAGGCAGTCTGCTTGCATAAAGATGTCCAGTCTTTATGGGACAGTTTCACCTGTCCTACAGGGTCACTTTGAGCCTGCATTGACTCATTGGCAGTAGGAGCCCTCGTGAATACTAACCGACTGAAAGGTTGCTGGTTTGAACCACCAGCAGCTATGTGGGAGAAAGAGCTGCTCCCATATGGACTGGTGGTCAGGGTGGGCTGGTTGTGGTTGTGTGCTGTGAAGCCCTGTACAGGGTTTTCGAGGCTGTAAATCTTTATAGGAGCAGAGAGCCTCATCTTTCTCCTGCAGAGCGGCTGGGAGATGCGAACTGCTGATGTTATGGTCAGCAGCCTGACGAGTAACTTACTGCGTTATCAGGGACGCCTGTCCACATGGATTACAGGGTAGAAAACCTTACGGACCAGTTCTGCCCTGTCACGTGGGGCTGCTATGAGTCTGAAACACTTAAAGGCATCTTAACAAAAGTAACATGTAATGTCCAGAATCACTGGATGGTGTGAACTGCAGGAGAAGCACTGACTGCAAGGTCGGCGGTTCAAACCCACCAGCCACGCCTCGGAAATCCTAGACAGGCTTACAATGAGTCGGAACGGACTCGACAGCACTTCACAACAACAACCACTAGCAGACAGTGGTGGCTTAAACCCACTCAGAGGCACGTTGGACGAGAAGCCTGGTGAGCTGCCTCAGCCTTGACAATCCCACAGAGCAGTTCCACGGTGTACACCCGGGGACACCGGGGCTCAGAACGGACTCGATGACGGCTGACAGCCCCAGGAGGTAAATGCCCAGCAGTCTGGGGGCAGCACCACCAGGAGAGTCCTGCTGCTCACTGAACACGATGTTCCGCCCTAAGCCCACCCAGCGGCTTCGTGGCCCTGTGACTGAACATTGCCTGTCGTCTTCCAGTCACCCTGCAGGGCAGGGCAAAACTGGCCCCTCGGGTTTCCAGGGTGTGAACAGCCTCATCTGTCTCCCTCGGAGCTGCTGGCGGATTCAAACCACGGACCTTACGGTTCACAGCTTCGTACACCACCAGGACTCCTGACGTAAAAATTATAGCTTTGGAACCTATGGGGCAGTTCTCCTGGGTCACCTGAGTCAGAATCCACACAACGGCAACTTACAACACCACCTAATTGTCTGGGAGAACGTGCACCCGGCACCCGCCGCTTCTCTGCCTCCCGCTGCTATAACTGCGCAGGCATGGAGTTCTTTTATAATATCATATAGATACAGAGAAGAAGTACAGGTCCGTTTCTGGAAGAATTCAGTTAATAGAGATAAACACCAGGCATGTAGACAAGATTCTGTGAAAGGAGAACTCAGTGAATACAGACAGAAATGCAGGAAAGGACGATGAACTCCTGAGATAAAAACTCAAACCAACGGGACAGTTAAGCCCTCAGGAACAAAAGCAGACTTGCAGGTCCTCATGGTTTAGCAGAGGAAGGGCACTCCTCCTTCCTTGCCCCACTGCCCACTCCATCCCAGCCAATTCTAGTCTTCCAAATTGACTCTTCAGACTGCCCATGCCTAAACCACCTCCTAACAGCTCTAAAGTGGCCCAGCTCTGTCCATCTCAGCGCCTGTGGTCACCGTCCTAGCCCGAGCTCCAGCAATTGTGCTTCTACTCCAAGCCCCTGGCCCCAGTCTCTACCCACAGCCTTGGGCTAGAATCTCTTGATGAGTCCAAAATCCAGGTGCACCTATGGCCCACATTTCCCAAGGCTTCCCTAAAGTTCTATCAAGGTCAGTACCATCTCTTTCCTGTGGAGCAGCTGGTGAGCTTGAATCGCCAACCTTGCAGTTAGCAGCCCAATGCTTAACTCACGGTAGCACAAGAGGTCCTCCAAGATCTGTGGACCCTAGCAACTTCCGGCTCATCTCCTCCTTCTCCAAAATGGCTTCACTCAGAGCACAGCGATGATGGTTCATCTTCCAGCCAGTCTCGCTCTGCTCCCTCACAGCACTGAAGTTAAAACAAACAAAACAAGAACTTTATGGAGATACAGTAGAACCATACAGCTCACCCTTCTAACAGTGTACAACTCGGCGGTCTCTAGCAGAGTCAGAGTTGCGTGGCCACCACAGTTGACTTCACAACGTCTCCATCATCCCCTAAAGAAAAGCTATACCGTTAGCATTCTTCACACGGCCGCGCCAACCCCTGCGCAGCCACGAATCTGCTAGCCTGTCTCTATGGCTTTGCCTAGTTTGGAGTTCCTGTAAGTGAAATGATACAGTCTGCGGTCCCATGACTGGCTTCTTTCCCTTAGGAAGATCCGTCCGTGTGCTCATTTCCTTTTCTGTTAGCGAATGTTAGGTGCTGTCGAGTCTATTCCAACTCACAGCGACCCCAGAGCAGAGCAGCCCCATTGGGTTTTCTAGGCTCCTTTACTCGAGCACATAACTAGGTCTGTCTCCTGTGGAGCTGCAGAGTGGCTTTGAACTGCCAACCTTTATGTTAGCAGTGGAGCGCTTAGCCATTGTGCCACTAGAACTCCTTTATTACCAAGTAACATTCAACTGTATTCATTGACCATATTTTGTTAGACTCCTGGTGTGGCATTGTAGGATCAGAGCTGGACTTCAAACCCCAAGGTCAGCAGTTCAAGCCCATCAGAAACTTCTTGGAAACTCTACACAGGATCGCTGTTGAGTAGGAACCACCTCAGCACTTAACAACTTAACAAAATTCATCATTTGATGTTCCTGAGCACCTTCACTTCCCTGTTCTCTCACTAACGCCAATCCTGTTAGGAGCCTCCACCTACCCAGCCTGCTCCGGAGCCTCCAGTGGTTCCCCACTGCTTGAACACCAGAATACACCCTCCATCGGGCCTAGGAGGCCTCTCATGATACAACCGTGCCCTTACCTCTCTTCAGATGCTTGGTGGTGCCGTGTACAGTGGAAACCCCCCAGTTCCATGGGAGAAAGACCTGACGAGTCTGCTCCCTACAGACGGACTCACTGCCCTCTTGTGGCTTCCGACTCACGGCCACACACAGGGTTTCTAAGCCTATTCTTTATGGCAGCAGACTCCCTGGAAGCTGCCCAGCACTGTAATCACCGCACCCCAAGGCCGTCTTTCCTATAAAGACTGTTGTTCTTGTTGTTGGTAAGTGTTGTCAAGTCAGTGTCGACTCACAGTGAGTTTCCAAGGAGGGTTTCCAAGGAGCCATCGGTGGATTTGAACTGCCGACCTTATGGTTCAAATAGACCTTGTGGTTCAGTACTTTATCCTACTGCGCCACGTCAAGACCCCTCCCCGCCCCCAACTCCATCAAGATTAGTGTTGTGTTTGATGCTTTCCTTGGGGTTGGTTCCAACCCATAGCGACCCTCTATAGGGTTTCCAAGCAGCTGCTGGTGGATTCGAACCACCAACCTTACAGTTCAAACTGACCTTGAAGTCCAGTGCTTAACTTCCAGCGCTACACCTGGACTCCAATCTAGGCAACCCTCCCTACAGGGCAGTTGTATTTTGTCCCATGAGACTCTCTTTACCCTAATCAAGAGCTACTTTTAAAAAGTGTAAAAACAGCCCTAGTTATGCTATAGGAGAAGCACTGAGCTAGTAACTGAGAGGTGGACAGTTCAAACTCACATCATAGTGAGTGCTGAAAAATATATTTATTGAATACAAGTGTCTCAACTGACTCGTAATAACACCCACTTTATAGAGTGATTGTAGGGATGAAATGAGATCAAGGCAGTAAAAAAACAGCACGGTGGCAGACACAGGGCAAGCAAATAACACTTAACAGGGGTTGTTATTCCTGAGCAGAGCCCTGTTATAGAGCTCAGTTGCTAACCAGAGGGTTGGTGGTTTGAACCCACCAGCCACTCCTCAGAGGAAGACTGGTTGATGGAGTCCTGGTGTGGCGCTGTAGGATAAGCACTGGATTCCTTTATCCTGGTATCCCCATCCAGAGGGTCTGCCAGGGTGATTGGTGGTGAACTGCGGTCTGGGGAAGGCATGCCCATTTCCCAGATGGGGCAAGTGGAGGTCATTGGCTCGTCACAGGCAGAGCCATTGAGCTAGGTGGGCTTGGCTCAGCCTTGGGGCTAGTGCCCATTTTCCACACAAGAAAACTGAGGCCTGGCAGGGGTCAAAAGTCACACATTTGAGCCAGGCACCCGAGCTTCCCAGATCATTCTTAATCGTTCTCGGAACCTCTGAGCACAAGGCTCGGGTCATAGGTCATATCCAGCACAAAATGGCGCCTCGTAGAAACATGCAGATCGATTTCTGGCGCCCATCCCCACCCACAGGGAAGGAAGGGGACGCGCGCGACCGTGTACATCTCAGTTGCTCATATAGAAATCAATTTATCCCATTGGCTGGAAGCTGTTTTTCCTGTATTAAATCCCTTTCCATTCGTACTCGTCTCCCACGGCACCGCCCTGTGCAAGTCTCGTGCCCGCAGCGCACGGAAGCGCGTCTCTATTGGTCGGAGAGCTATCCATCATGTGTTTAAAACCCCTGAGTCCCGCCTCCCGTCACCCCGCCCCACCTCCCAAACCGGCCGTTACGAGCGTGCGCAACATCCGAGCCTTCGGGGCACGCGCACGCACGCTGGGCCGTGGCGGCGTCTTATTCAAACGGACCAATCAGAGGCCACGTCGCCACACACGTCGTCTTCCCGTCTTTTCTTCTCTCTCAACCCTCCATTAGCCGGGGACTCTGTCCGTATACCTGCGCAAAGCTATTGGCTGTCCGTCCGCGCTCGCCTCTCCCCAAGTCCTCTTAGCCTCACCCGTAGTTGGCGCAAAGGGCGGGTACAAGCGGCAAGTGCCTCGGGTCGTGCGTGCTGACGTCACGCGGCTCGGGAGGCGCGGCTTGCACGCGAGTACAAAAGGGCCGTGCTGCGCGCGCGGCGGGTTCAGTGCGGCCGAGTGCTCGGGACTTGTGGAGCGGTGGGTGCGGTACTCCGAGGGGGGCGTCGGAGGCAGCGGGAAGCGCGGCGGGGCCGCCGGGTCCTCGCTAGGACCGCAGCGGCAGCTGTTGGGCCCCCCGCCCCGGCCGGCGGCCCGCGGAGCGCAGGAAGGGGGCCGGGGGGACCCGCCCCCGGCTGGCTGCAGTCATGGTGAGCTCCGGCTTCCAGGCCTGCGAGGGACTCGGGCGGAGGAACTGACAGTGTTCCCGGAGGGATCGGAGGGCCCATCGGCCGGTGATGGGCCTACGGGGCGGCTTGGAGGCGGGGCCGGGACCTGGGCGGCTGCGCCCCGGGGAGGGCTCTGGTGGGGGCTGTCACCAGGAGGAAGGATGGCCGTCCGCCATCTGCAGGCCGGAGCTGAGGTTTCGGTGACGACTCTGCCAGGGATTCGTGGGGAAGGGGGCCAGGGGAGGCCTCGGGCCGATCGGGAACATCTGGGGGTTCGTGCGAGACCACAGGGGACTTTAGGGTGTCTGGGGAAACGCCAGCATCCAGAGGCTCTTGCGAGGCCGGCCCCCACCTCTAGTGGGAGGTCAGCGAGGGGCCAGGGCCCTATTGCATCCTGGGGAGGTGTCTGGGAGCTGAGGGCACTCACGCCTCGCCGCCCCCCATCTTCCGTCCATACCCAGAACTCCAACGTGGAGAACCTGCCCCCCCATATCATCCGCCTGGTGTACAAGGAGGTGAGCACGCTGACCGCCGACCCGCCCGATGGCATCAAGGTCTTTCCCAACGAGGAGGACCTCACTGACCTGCAGGTCACCATCGAAGGTCCTGGTGAGTGCAGGGGCCTCCTGGTGACCCCGCTGGCCCTTAGAACAAGTAGGGGACACTGCCCCACGTCTGTGTGCTGCAGAAATTCCTGTGTGCACAGAGCTGGTCTGGGTCTGGGGTGAGACCTCTGACCCCAGGGACAGCTGAGGAGTAAGTGGGAAGGGGTCCCTGGCCTTGAGGGTACAGCACGTGACCTCAGACTTTTCCATCCTGCTTAAGTGTTGGGGGGCACTGGTGGGAACCGGTAACAAATGAATACACAGTGCAAACTGGTTTCTGTTACTTGAATTTCTGCTGAGCAGTGACCTCAGGTGTTAAAGAGCAGGTGACGTGGGGGAGAGGTCCGGAGTGCTCAGATAGAATGGTTTCTGCCAAGGGTCCAGTGGAAGCATTTTAGGGGCAGAGGGGCCTAGGCCTTCTTAGGCCTGGGTGAGCAGTAGCTTCGTGGATGGGAAGGCCTGCAGAGGAGAAAGCTGACCGGAGGGGTGGGGGCGGGCAGGAAGTTAAAGCGGGTGACCTGTTTTGGCACCCTGGTGGCAGGGCAAGTTGCTTACACAGGTTTGTGGGGGACAAGAGAGCAAGCTGCTGGTGGAGTAGAGGGGTGGGCCGGTGGGGAAGACTGCCCAGGCAGGGTCCCCGAGGTTTTGGGAGAAGTGGGTGGATGTGGCCCTGGCTGGACAAGCGGGGGAGGCTGTGGAAGACCAGTGGGTGTTGCTGTGAGGCTCTGGGGAGTGGCTGGCACGAGCTGGGCAGGTGCTGTGAGGGAGATGAGTCTGGTGTGGTGAGGAAGCCCCCCTCTGGAGGAGGAGGTGAGCAGGACCACGAGCCTCCCAGCCAGACAGGGCTTTTGGGGGCCTGGCAGTGCTGACCAGAGCCTCCCTCTATGCCAGAGGGCACCCCCTACGCTGGAGGCCTGTTCCGTATGAAGCTCCTGCTGGGAAAGGACTTCCCCGCCTCCCCCCCCAAGGGCTACTTCCTGACCAAGATCTTCCACCCCAACATGGGCGCCAATGGCGAGATCTGCGTCAACGTCCTCAAGAGGGACTGGACTGCGGAGCTGGGCATCCGTCACGTGCTGCTGGTAAGTGGGCTGGGCCTGTCTGCCACCTGGGCAGCCCAAAACCATGAGGCTTGCTTGCTTTTTTTAAATTCTGAAGTACTTGTGATGGTTCTGCATTTAAGATTCAGGCTTCTAGCTTTTCTGGAAAATTCTAGAAGGGGGGCAGTACTGGCACCCAGAGTCCCAGGTGTTCCTGTGCTGGCTGGGCACCTTTCCTGTAGAACAAACCTTGGGTCCTGAGGCAGACTGCTGACGGCTTCGGGGCTCACCCTTACTTGCTGTTTGCGGGCGGGGGGGAGGGGGGGGAGCGCACATACCATAAAGTTCATTGTTGCCAAGCATGCACTGCGTGGTTCTCAGCGCCTTCACAAAAGTGTCTGTGGTTCTTACCGCTGCAGTGACCTGCTGTCTATGGCCAGGGGCCCCGTTGGGTTGCCACAGCTGTGCTGGTGGAATGGGTGGGGGAAGAAGCACTCTGTCCACACCTGCAAACTGAGGTTTCCAGCTGTTTCTCTGAGGGCTGCTGTAAGCCGGGCTTCTTTCTGGTCATGCCTCCCCAACAGTCCCGGTTCTCTGAACCCTGAACCGCAGTTTACCCCTAGACTGTAGGGCTGTGGAGCAGAGTCACCCTGGTCACCTGCCACCGTGGAGTTTCTGGTCAGGCCCGAGGTGGCTGTGGCTTGGGCTCTCATTGTAGCATTGTGGCCAGAGGAGCTGCCTTCCACTTCCGGTTCACTGAGCCCAGGTGTGTGCATTTGGGGAAGGCGTATGCACCTCTCGAGCAGAGCTAAGGAACAGGGAAAGGAGTGCACTGGGCTGAGATCTGGGGCCACATCCAGAGCCCTGACCTGACTGTTCTCCCACACTCTCCCTACAGACCATCAAGTGCCTGCTGATCCACCCCAACCCCGAGTCCGCGCTCAACGAGGAGGCAGGCCGCCTGCTGCTGGAGAACTATGAGGAGTATGCCGCGCGTGCCCGCCTGCTCACTGAGATCCACGGCGGTGCCGGTGCCAGCGGGCCTAGTGGGCGGGCCGAGGCTGCCCGGGCCCTGCCCAGCAGCACCACCGCCACCTCCTCTGCTGACCCCTTGGCCCCTGGGGGCCCAGGTGGGGCAGAGGGTCCCATGGCCAAGAAGCACGCAGGTGAGCGCGACAAGAAGCTGGCAGCCAAGAAAAAGACGGACAAGAAGCGGGCCCTGCGGCGGCTGTAGCGGGTTTTCCTCTTCACCCCTCCTTCCTCACACCCCAGCTCTCCTGTCCCTCAGCTCTGTCTCTAAGTTATTTAAATTATGGTTGGGGGGATGGGGGGACACTGGGGCCTGGACTTGGTTTTCTAAATAAAAGTTGGAAAAGCAGTCACTGTGAGGTTTGAGGCCACCCCTGTCCCCACTACTCTTGGGAATCTGGTTTCTTTACTAAAAAACGGTGTGTGGGGGGGCAGGGGGAACAGTGGAAGCCTTTCCTGGTGACCTTGGGATCCTCCCCGAGATGGACATGAGATCAAGGCCAGAGGCGGCTATTGGTCTGAACGCAGGTTCTTGTTCATTCATCCCCCTGCTCTCCAGTCCGTTCTAATTATGAAGGACCCTGTGGGGCAGCCTAGAACGGCCCCCACAGTAAATCTACAGGAGACCACCACCTCTTTCTCCTGAGGAACGAGGAGTGGGTTTGAACCACTGCCCTGTTAGCAGTGGTTCATTAGCCACATCTTGTCACCTGAGCTGGGCCCAGAGGATATGTGTCAATCAATCATAAAAGAGCCAAAGACCTGAAGAGCATTGGCAGAATGGATTATGGGTTACTGAGGCCAGCCTGGGTCAGAAGTGGGTTACCTGCTCATGCCAGTCACACACACTATGCTGGACCAGACTGAAGGCTGGCGGCAGCTCAGTGGTTGCCAGGGTTTAAGAACGGAGGTGGCCCACAGGAGGAAGTCTATTGTAATAAATAAAGCTTTTCAAAATACCTTTGCTGGAAACTGCATCAAATGATCTCATTTTCATAATTAGAAGAGGAAAAAAGATGCTATAGGGTAAGCACTAACCTTACTACCCTCAAGGTTGGCAGTTGGAAACCCTATACATGGTCACTATTACGCAAGGTCAGCAGTTCGAAACTACCAGCAGTTCCTGCGGGAGAAAGATGAGGCGTTCTGCTCCTGTAAAGATTTACAGCCTTGGAAACTCCACCACAGCACTTAACATTAAGTCAAAACCAACTTGACTGCACTCAACAACAACAAAAGACTTGTAAAAGTCAAATAGGTAATTAGAGTAGGCAATTAGAGACCACTGGCAGCTAGAGGCTGTGTGCTGGGTTTAGTTGCTAAAGCACAGGGCAGTTTAGACAAAGGTAAGAAGGCAAACAGGAAGGGATGGGACTGAAAGAATAGTTCTCTGGCACTTTAGGACTTTCTGAATATAAAATTTTCAGATATACACTGCTTCATTCAAAAATGAATTCCACAAAGACATACCATTATCCTTGACCAGATTAGCACAAATCAGATATTCTGACTCCCAGCAGCTGGGAAGGATTGTGCAGTGTGGCCAGAGTGTAAATTTGCCACAAGCAGATCGGGGAACAGTTTTGCAGATTTCTATCAAAGCTGAAGAGAGGCACTCTTCAGTTCAGACCATTGCATACCAAGCAAACCACATTCCTTGGAGACATTTGTAATCACAAGAATGGGGAACTACCTAACTGCCCAGGAACAGAATTGTGAAGACTGAACCAAAAGTGAATTACATACTCATCTATCAAACTCCATCTACCTAGCTGTTAGGGATTGCATCCTTCCAGAAAGATCCTGATCCCACTATCTGTAAAGGTGGAAATACAGTCTTGGAAGATGTGGAGTAGGGTGGTAATGGTAATTGGGTGCCAGAGTTGGTTCCAACTCAGCCACCCCGTATAGTTTCCCACGCTATAAATCACAGGAGCAATAAGCCTCATCTCTTCTGGTTCAAACAGCTGACCTTGATTTTAGCAACCCAGCTTGTAATCCACATTACCAGAGCTCCTTGTTAAGTCCCCTGTAGTCGTTTTCGACTCAGAGCGACCCTGTACATCTTTACGGGAGCAGAAAGCCTCATCTTCCTCCCGCAGAACAGCACGTCATTTTGAACTGGTGATCTGTGGTTCACGGTAACCACTACGCTACCAGAGCTCCTCTAATAGGAATTAAATGTCAAGTCGGTTCTCACAGCAACCCTGAGAAGTGACTGGCAAGTTTGAACTGCTGACCTCACAGTTCAAACCAACCTTGTGGTCCAGTGCATTATCCCAGTGCTAGAATTCTGCTTCCACAAGGATGCCCGCCTGACTGAACCTTGGCCAGTGCACACACCTCAAGCACAATGAATGGGCTTCAGCAACTCTTGGAGACAGTTGACTAGGAAAACAGGCCTGCTAATATTCAAAATACAGTGAAAACACAATGTTCGTCTGCAACCAATCAGGGGATGGCTCAGAACCAAGCAGCTTTGCTCCATTGTACATGGTTCCCTGTGCCTTGAGGACTGTGACTCAAGCCAGCTAACATATATACCTTAAGAGAGAGGAGGCAGAAATTCACGTTTTAACAGAGGCACTGGCACCTCGGAGACATAGCAAGACTAAAGTGATAGTTCTGAATTATGGTTAGTGATATGATATAGACCATGGGACTCATGAGAGAACGAACCTTGGCAGTACAACCAAACTGCTCCTCAGAAGGGGATTTCGCTAGATTGAAGGACCAGTCCCTGGAGGGCATCATACCTCGTCACCTTGTGACCCTACTTGATGGCACTTGAGTCCTGATGTGGGGCCGATACTGCGCTAGACCTCCAGATCAAAGGGAACCACAAAACCAGCAATTCAAACTCATCGGCCACTCCTCAAAAACCCTATAGTGTCAGACCCAGTGATTTAAAAGGGCTGGACACCCCAACCTTAGTACACAGAAGTGGCTACCGGCACTCAGCGCTTATCTCATCACAGAAGAGGAGCAGAGAGGGCTGGTGACTGGTCCCAAGTCATACTGGTTAGGGCCTGTGTCCATGGCTACACTGTCAGCCCAGACAATGGACACAGGCCCCTGTTGTGAAGGGAAAGGCGGTGCCTGGACAGACTGAGGCAAGGACAAGGGCTCAAGATTGCTGCTGGGCAACAAGACAGGTTGCTATCCCCCTAACCCCCACCCCCGACTTGACAGCACCTCAGGTTTCTCATGGTCTGTGGCTCCCACTTCACACCCATGTACACTTGGCTTATGGGAACATCCTGAACCCTGACCATCAGTCTGCTCCTTCCAGGCAAAGGGGCAAATAGTGGTCGAGACAATAAAGACCACCAGGTGTAGTTTGTCAACCCTAGTCTGAAGTCTTCATCTTTCAAGATACTGTTTAGAAGGTTTAGGTGTGTGTGTGTCTCTCAGGGTTTTAGAGGACTGTACTGATTTAACTCTGCACTTCTCATTGGTCCTGTTCTTGTTGGCCCACGGAACTGGTGTCCAGGGTACTCCGCTGCAGGACTCTGGGGGCTTGCATGGGTGAAAAAGGCCCTCGCTGAGATCTCAGCTAGGATCAGGGACCCTCTTTCCCAAGGCCCAGGCAAGTCACCCAACCCCGACCCTCCCTGGGAAGACCAGAGACACTCTACTGAGACACGCAGAAGAGACTGGGCAGTGAAGAACGCGGTCTTTATTGTTCTGTGGTGAGGGGTGCTCAGGAGCTCTTGGTGGGGCGGCTCCGCTTCCTCTTCACCAGCACCGGCTTCTGGCTGCGCAGGATGGCACTAGCTCTGCGGATTGCCGCCTGGGGGAAAGAGGAAGCTCATCAAGGGCCAGAATCACCACCCCTCTGCCAGCCTCTTGGACCCCCTGGGAAGAGGAATGAGAAGACCCTTTCCCATGGTACTGGCCAGATGTCCCCAAAGCAGCCCGTGCCCCACTCACCATGCGCAGATCAGGCCGGTACTTGTTCTTGCGAATCATGTGCCGGATGCTGCTGAGTGTGGCACGAGCATTCTTATTAATGGTGGTCCGCACATAGGAGGTGGCCGGTTTCCGCTGGCCTGAGGAGAAAAGGGATTTTGCCTGTTTGTCCATCTGTGAGTTCATGTGTGACCCTCCCCCAAAAAGGGACCAACAGCCACTGCCTCTTCACCCATCTGTTCTGTCCATTCCCCCTCGCCCTAACCACACCCGTGAGACAGGCCTACATGAACACCAGGCTCCTCTTGTTCAAGGTCAGGTGCAAGTAGCATGTTGGCCCTGACCCCATGCTATCACCAGGCAGTGAGTACCCCTGGGAGCGTGTGGGAACATTAGAAAAAAAACAAAGCAGCAAGTCATAAGTCATCCGGTGACCCAGCTCCACACTACCCTGGCCCTTCCCTGGAATTACTAACCGTGAGCTAGACAAAAAGAGACAAGAACACCAAAGTCCACACTGGTGACTGGCGGGGCTAGGCGGCTCCTTGAAGGTCTCTCCTCTAGAACATGTCTGGCAATGTTAACTAACCTGACTTGCCCACCAGTGAAAAGCCCCTTCCTCACCCCACCCTGGTCACTGGACTCTGGGTGGCTGACAACAGCAGTTTCTCCTCCAAAAGCAAAGGGCCCACCTACATTCTGCAGCTTTGACACACTGGATGTGGCTGTTTTAACCCAGACCCCAAGCTAACAGGTCTGATTCAGGAAGATCCCAGGTGGCAGAGGGGGGCTCTAGGCTGTGTCTCTAGGTGAGCAAAACCGCCAGATCTTTGTCCAGTGGAGATCCTGTGAGTTCAAATGTCAGACCTTTCAGCTGAGAGCTCAGCACTTAACCACTGCACCACCAACCAACTAACCTACCCCAAGTCGGGCCCGTCCTTACAAGCCAAAGCAAGCAAACCTAGAGGCCAAAGCAAGCTTTTTGGGGGTCTGCTTGCTCAGAAGTCATTAGTAGCAGAACCCCAAGGTTGTACAGTGCAGTGGCAGCTAAGCCAGCACCTGTTAGTGACAATGAGCATCCTCTCCCTAGTCACCAACCAGAAGACAGGATGCTGCTATCTTAAGATAAACCATTAGGAACACAAGCCCAAGTCACTCCTTCCTCAGACCCCACAATAGAGAACAAATGTGACATCCTATGACTCAACTCCCTACCTTCCCTTCCTGTCCCCCAACTACACACCCTCAGGGACACCTGAACAAGACTCTATCTGTGTCTGAGGCGTCGTGGACCCCTTGCTCTGGGGCTGGCAGATTGGGGGATCGAACTATGAACTGCTAGATTGTGACCCAGCCGGTCATTTCCATCCGCAGGCACCTGCTAGCCACCAAGTTCACCCTGGAGGTGGAGCCATCTACACATCTCAGCACGTAATCGGACTCTCCCAGACAACCACATGCAGGTCTGAACAGCGTCTTCACATCACACTGGAGAACCAGGTCAACATCTCGAACAAAAAAGGAGCCCGACATGCGGCCAGCATTCTTACCTGACCTCCGCTTCAAGACCACCACAACCCCTTTGCCATCGGCAGCCGGCTCCACGCCCACAGTCTTGCGGTGGATCAGCCCGTTGTAACGGAAGGAGTTGCGAGCCTTTAAGTTATTGGGCTCCTGAAACGAGGGGACATTGGGGATGGTGAAGAGAGACCCTGGAGACATGCAAGACTCCACCCTCAGACCCAGGAGTCCTGACCCTAGGCCCCTCCTCCCTCGGAGCCGGGCTGCGGGCCCCACGTACGGTGCTGTATGTCTGCTTGTTCCTCTTGATCAAGAAACTGGAGCAGTTCCTTAAGACCATCCATTGCAGATGCGCGGACATGGCGGCAGCTATGGAGAAACACGACACGTGAACGCTCTCACTCGCGGGGGCAGGCCGAGTTGTGCGATCGGAAACCGGGGAGGACAGCCGCAGAGACTAACAGCGGGGCATGAAACGGGAGAGGGCAGGTAGAGAGATGGGAGAAGACGGGTCGGGGCCAGAAACCGGGTGCAGACGCGAGATGGCCGCCACGCCAGGCGCTCGGAAGGCCGCCGCGCACTCACCTCCTGTCCGTGCGGCTGCCGGAGACGGAAAGAGGCACCCAAAAGGCGGAGCGACGCCTTTAATACCATCACGCATTTCCGTTTCCGCTCTGAGCGCGCCCATGAGTTGCCTGGCTCCATAGCCTCCGAGGTCCCTCGGTAATATTCGGCTCTTTCCGCCAATTTGACTGGCCTCTCTCGGGAATCTCCGGAACTATTCGTCGAGGGAACGGAGGACGCGTTGTGAGACAGAGAAAGCCTCTGTCTCAAGGCATGTTCGGAAGTTTTCGGAACCTCCTTAGCTGCTTTTACGAGCGGTTCTGTTAGAACCCTCCCCCCCGAATTTTCTGAGTCACATTCCGCAAAGGACTCTTTACAGTATCAGCGCTTGACACTATGTTTATCATATGATGGGTGTCTAGTGAACATTTATTTTATGAATGAATGTTCGATTGAGTAAACTCTGTCATCCCGCTCCGGCGTCTTCAGTCGCTTCCGGTCTGCTTTCTGGAGACACGGGGGCATTCGGACATTTTCGGATCTCTCCGGAAATGCTCTCCACTTGAACATTCTCCTTCCCATTTACACCCGTGCCCGTTTAGGGTCTTAATCTCGGTCCGAATACGCTCGCAACCCTTCATCGAACCGTACAGCTCCCTATTAATTCGCTCTCCCCAAGGTCTTCTTAAAGTGCTTGGAGTCTGTGGGGGAATCTAGACGCAACTTCCTTACAGGCTGCCATCCAGGAGCGCATTGATTTCCCCAAAGGACGAGTTGTTCTCTGAGGGAGAGACAGGCGTGAAAGCTCTTGTTCAGTTTAGGGGTTCAATACCTGTGTGCCCCGTCTCCATCACACTTCTAGTTTGTCCTATGTTGTGTGTGCCATGAAGTCGCTTTTGGTAGACTACAATTGCCCCATAGGGTTTCTTTACCAGAGCAGTACCCAGTTCTGTCGCTGTTAAACTGCATCAAGTCAGTTCTGATTCATAGTGACCCTGTATAGGATTTTCTAGGCTGTGCATTTTTGCAGGAGCAGAAAGTCTCATCTTTCACCCGCGGCGCGACTGGTAGGTTCGAACCACTGACCTTGTGGTTTGCAGTACAGTTGGTATCCTAAAAAGTCACCAACCAACCAACCCCCCCCCCCCAGGTCTGTCGCTGGGTGGGATCAAATCTCTGACTTTTAGGTTAGAAACCCAACGTTTAATCATTTTAACTTCTGCCACCGGAAGATTATTTTCTTTTGTTAGAGTCATCCTGAAGAGGCAGGAGTGAAGCCTGATGTATTTCCGTATCCTCAGTAGCTGGCACTGGGGAGGTCTTAGGGGGCCCCTAGCGCACCTCCATTAGCGCACCTGGAGTGGTGATTTTGTCTGGAAACTCCTCAAGGGTGATCAGTGGCTTCCACCCATCTGAGGCCCTTAGTGACATTCGCTGTGAAATAGACACGTAGTGACTTCAGGAGACACGAGTATAGTGCAGAGCTGGTAAGGTGCCCTGGTGGCACAGTGCTTAAGCACTGGGCTGCTCACATAAAGGTTGGCGGTTCGAAACCCGCCAGCCGCTCCAAGGAAGAAAGATGGGGTTTTCTGCTTTTGTAAAGATTTGTTGTTGGTGATGTCGTTGTTAAGTGTGGTCGAGTTGGTTTCGGCTCATTGCCACCATGTATAGAATTTTCAAGACTTTAAATTGTGGGAGCAGAAAGCCTAAAGGAGTCTGGGAATAGAAAGCCAAAAGATTTATAGTCTCGGAAATCCTATACAGGTTCGTTGAATCAGAACAACTCAATGGCAGTGGATTGTTTTGTTTTGTTTTTTATTTTATCCCCACCAAAGTCCTGGTGTGGCGCTGTGGGTTAAATGCTCTGGCCTACATGGCCAGGTTGAATGGCGAGGTCGCGGTTCAAATTCACCAGCTGCCCCTCAGAAACCCTAAACAGTGTGGCTATGAGTCGGAACCAGCTGGACGGCACTTAACAACAACAACAACAAAGAAACCATGATGGCATAATGGGTTAAATTGGGCTGCTAACCAAGAGATAGCCTGCAGGTTCAAAGGCACCAGTGGCTCCGAGGGAGAAACATGAAGCTGGCTGATGCTGTGAAGATTTAGGCTCAGACACCATACAGAGTCCTTCTACTGTGTCCTTAGGGTCGGTATGAATCACCTCAGTGGCAGTGGGGTTTGGTTATCCCCACCACAGGTACCTGGGAGATGCAAGTGGTTCATGTCTAACAACTCACCATTACAGCTTGGCGGTCCTAATTCATGCAGTGACACCTCAGAAGACCTGTAGGTTTTCTCATCAAAACTAGTTAAGAAAACCAGACGTAGCACAGTTCTCTTGGCACAGGTGGGCTCTCCGTCTCGGAATGGGTTCCATAGGCCGGGTTTGATTTGGGGTATCCCCAACACGGTGCCAGGCTTACAGGAGGCCACACTTAATAGTCCAAGGGTCCTGATTTCCCACAGGCCCCTGTGCTGCCCCCTTTAGGGGACACTGAATTTTGACTCGGGGTACAGGGGCCCTGGGCCAGCTGTTCCCGCTACAGAAACCGGCATCAGGGCACCTCTGAGCGGGGCCCCGTGGGCGCCTGGCCCAGTTCAGGTGACCGGGAGGCTGCCGGACACACCTGGCGCCGTCCCCAGACCCCGCCCCGGGACGGGCCGCACCCGGAACACTCTGGCGGAACCAGTGGCGGAGGCGGCACAGGGCCATGGCGGCGGTAGCGGCGACCTGCACCTTGCCTGGACCCCCATCCGTAGCCCCGTCCCCGCCAATGGCCGCCCCGGCGCCCGCGCCCGCGTCCGGCCTGGGCCGGTGCCGGATGGCGCTGCTGCTGGCGGTGGCGCTGGACGTGGCGGGCATGGCGGCACTGCTGACCGGCGTGTTCGCGCAGCTGCAAGTACGCGGCCGCGACTTCGGCGACCTGCTCATCTACTCGGGCGCGCTGCTCGTCTTCCTGAGCCTGCTGGGCTGGATCCTTTGGTACACCGGCAACATCGAGATCTCCCGCCAGGAGCTCGAGCGCGACTATGGCCTGCGGCCCTCCGCGCTCGCCCGCCTAGCGCGCAAGATCTCCCGCCGCTGGTCGGCGCCGGCCTCTTCAGTCACCCGAGGGACCCGGGGAGCGCGCCGCACTGCCCACACGCCCCCGCAGGCCGCCACCGGCTCCCGCCGTGTGCGCCTGCAGCTTGCCACGCTGGAGGCTGGGCATGGCGCGGCGGGCGCGAACCCCGAGTGAGCCAGGTGAGGGCCCGGGAAGGTGGGAGAGTCATGGAGCGCAGGGGAACTTTGCAGGGAGAGACAGAGATGGCCGGGAGAGATGGAGAGACTTTGGAGACAGACATACAGACATTGGGAGAGATGAAGAGACATTGGAGAGAGACACAGAGACACTGGGGGAGACCGAGAGACATTGAAGAGAGACAGAGATGGCAGGGAGAGGCATAGAGGAAGAAGGAGAGACAGCAGGGGGAGATGGAGAAATACAGACAGCAGGAAAAGACAGAGGAGACTTTGGGAGAGCTGGAGAGATCTGTGGAAGAGCTAGAGAAGGAGTGAGACAGCAGGGACTCACAGACCTGGACCAAGCCAGGAAGAAGTGAAACAGAGACCCAGAAGGGTGGAGACTGGGAGAGTCCGAGGCAGCAAGGGGAGGTGCAGCCTTGAGAGACACAGAGGAGTCTGGGTCCCCCAGCCCCACGTCAGATAAAGCAGAGAGAGTCCCAGTCAGCCCTGCTGCCAGACACACCAGGCTGTTAAACCTGCTCAGGGTAACTGAATCTATGGGCCATTGCAATTATTCCATCCCCATCCGACAGTGCAAGACACTGAGGCCCAGAAAGGCACTACTTCTTGCCTAAGGCCATGCTGCTTAGAGCTAGAGGAGTTGTGCCAAGAAAGCCAGGAAAGAGGGACAACAACGAAGACAGACATCCAGGGAAGGTTCACCACTAAGCCTCCTCCCTTCTGTCTTATTCTTTCTTTCCTCCACCTTCTATCTCCTTTCCTAAAGATACCAGGGTGAGTCAAAATGTACTGCTGCAACATCATCTTGTTAGGTACCATTGGGCCGGCTCTGACTCATAGCGACCCTCTGCACAACAGGATTAAATACTGCCCAGTTCTACACCATTCGCACAATTGTTAAATTTGAGCCCACTGCTGCTGCCACTGTGTCAATCCATCTCATTGAGGGTCTTCCTCTTTTTCAGGGACCCTCTGGTGGTAGGTGGTGGTTATGTGCCGTGGAGTCGGTTCCGAGGCTGTACAGGGTTTCCGAGGCTGTGCCCCTCTACTAACTATCAAATCATGGAAACCTTTACTAAGCAAAAATAACTAAAAGGGAGCTATTGTTTCTCCGTACATCCTCCGTCTGTGTCTATACGCTTCTGAACGTGATGTTTCCATCTCTCTAACCTTCTGCACAGAATTCTGCACTCTTCTACGTACACCGCATCAAAACAGCAGCTTTTAGACTTTGGGGATAAAGTAAAGGAGTTCCATAGATAACTGTATCTAGAGTCGTTATTTCTGTATCCTCCGGGAACTCAAATTGTGTTCCTTTTCAAGTTCTTTGATTTGGAGGACAAGAAGAAATCTAAAGGGGCAAAATCAAGGCTGTAGGGTGGATGGAGTAAGGTTTCCCATCGACATTCTCGTGGACAGCCCTCACTACCCTAGAAGGATGAACAGATTTCATTCTCGTGATGGAAAAACATTCCTTGGCACAACCTTTTCTCACCAATTCAGTTTACCATTTTCTTAAAACTTTGTCCTAACAAATCCTTGTGACCGTCCTACTCCCTTCAAGAAAATCTATCAAGATGACCCCTTGGGAATCCCAAAAACCAGTCACCATAACCTTCGGAGCTGACCTCTGTCTTGAATTTAACTGGCCCAGTAGATCCCCTTGGAAGTCCACTGTTTGGGACCTTTACTTTTTTCCCCCCAAGACACCCTAAGAAAACGAAGACTATTGCATTACTGAGACAACTTGTCTGAAGTCACCCACTGACTGTAGAGATATGGTTAAACATATTTTGTTTGGAATAAGCCTATATATATATATATATATATATAAACTGGAACTTGAATACTAATACTTTTTTTACTTAACCTTATACACTCTCCAGTTTGCTATTGTCTGCTCAGAGCCCTGCTATGGCTCTCCATTGCCCTCTGGGGGAAATCCAAGCCACACGTGGGTCCCCCACAAGATAGCCCTTCTGCAGATGTTATGACCTCTCAGTCCACAGACTCCCAGGATCTCTCATAGCATTTAGCCTCTGCCCATGCGCGTCTCTAAACCAGGAATGACCTTTCTGTCTCAATGCACACAGAAAACTTCCCACATGGTTTTCAAGGTCCAACTCAGCTTCCCTTCCCTTCTCTGAGCTACCCGTATTATTGTCTGAGTTACCTCTATTATATGCTTGTGTCACTGTGTGTTGTGTTGGTACTGTCTCCCCCACCTGACAGGGAATCTCACTCTCTTTCTCCTAGCATTGCCCAGAAAGATGTGTGAACTTGGGATGTGAGAGGTTGATGATTGGGGTAGATGGACGGGGCATGGATGGATGAATGGGTGGATGAGTGAATAGACTGGTAAATATGAGTAGATGGGGATGGATGGATGGATTGGGAGGATGGATGGTAGATGGTTGGTTGGATGAATAAATGGATGGATGGATAAATAGGTTGATGGATGGGTTGGTTGATTGATTGAATGCATGGATTGGGTGAATGGGGTGAACAGAAGTATGAATGAATGAATTGGTTGGTGAGTGGATAGATGGGTGGTAGATGGGAGAGTAGATGGGTTTGATGATCGATATGAATGGGTGAATGGTGAACAGATGGGTTGGTTGATGGATATGTGTTAACTAGTGGATGGGGGAATGGATAGATTGGGCAGCGAGGTGGATGTATGACTAGATTTATTGATTCATTGATGAGTGGATGGATGATACTAGATGAATTGGTAACTGAATGTGTTTCTCAAATGAGGATTCTGTGAGAATGAAACTAACATCCTAAGACTTCCTCTAAACATGATGAATTCACTTCTCTCTCCTGCATTCAGTACAACACTAGTTGTAGACCATTCTTGGGGAGACATGAGGTCACTCTGTGTTGTGTGGTTCAGACAAGTAACCCCATTTAAGAAAGTAGGGACCACTGTGTGCATAGGTGAAGCTTCATCTAACACAGCATTTGGCATGTGAAACAAAAAGAACCACTCTAGATATAGTTATCCATGGAAATCCTTTACATTGCCCCAAAAGTCTAACAACTGGGTTGGCCTCCACTGCTGTACATACCCTCCAAGACTTAGCTCAAGCTGACTTGAGTGCAACCATCCCAGCACAGGAAAGACAAGAGTAGCAGAGGGCTCCCTTCCCACATGGGGACAAGAATTAGTTGAATTGATGGCTGAAGCACTTCCATCATTTGGTCTCTCTCCCTTCTATGTCTTCTTTCTCTCTGCCTGTCTCTTCCAGTCTCCCTGCTTCTCCCAGTCTTCCTGTCTGTCTCTCTGTAGCTCAGTCTTTCCCTCCACATACTCCACTGTTTCTCCATCTCCCTCCCTGTTTCTCTCCCTGTCTCCCACCCCCCACCTTGTCCCACTAGGTTCCAATGAGTTGAAGAGGTGCATTCAGGACAGGGGAGGGGGAATGAAGAAAAGAGCAAACAGTGTGGGCATGGGCAGAGAAGAGCAGGGCTCCCTTCTGCTGGTCCCTGACCCCTGGGCTTAGGCTGGGAGACCACAGGGATGCAGCCTGTCCTGAGTACTCACTGACCCCACCCTCCCTCCTGCAGACCACCCTACAGCCCCATCTGTCAGGACTGATCTGAGATGAGCAGCAGCCTCCAAGACTGTTGGATCACCAGGACATCCGGTTATTTCTCCTCTGCTCCACACCAGGATAAAGGACTCTGCCTGTTGGCCCTCTGTCTGTCCATCTGTCTGTCTGTCATGCCTAGGGCTGGGTGGAGTGGTTGATTGCTTCCTTCTGGGGATGTGGGAGTCCAGCTTCATGCATATCTTTCACATAGGGGGACAGGGACGAGGGACTGTACCCAGATCCATCCCCTCAGCCCCAAGCTCCCTGTGCTTATTTGGGTCCTATGAAGGGCAGACCCCAAGATGGGCTAGGACTTACAAGATGTTTACTAGGGAGACAGTAATGGGAGACTACGCTGGAGGGCCCCTCCAGACTTCCATAGAGGTCTCTGTCCTGAAGACGGAGAGAAGGATGGATGGATGGATTGGATGGGTGGTAGATGGATGGATGGATGGTGGATGGATGGGTAGATGGATGGTGGATGGATGGATGGATGAATGGTTGGATGGGTGGATGGATGGTCGATGGATGGGTGGATGGAGGATGGATGGATGGATGAGTGGATGGATGGGTGAATGGATGGATGGATGAGTGGATGGATGGTGGATGGATGGATGGATGAGTGGATGGATGGGTGGATGGATGGTGGATGGATGGATGGATGGAGGGATAGTGGATGGATGGATGGATGGTGGATGAAGGGATAGATGGATGGTGGATGGATGGATGGTGGATGGATGGATGGAGGATGGATGGATGGTGGATGGATGGGTGGATGGATGGAAGGATGGATGGATGGTGGATGGATGGATGGTGGATGGATGGATGGTGAATGGATGGTGGATGGATGGATGGTGGATGGAGGATCAAGCAGGACAAGTCTTCAGCTATGGTATAGTTCCAAGAAAATTTGCATCCAGCCAATGGGGAATCTAGGAGCGGAAGTCATCTGTTGGGGGCGCCCACTGTCCTGGGAGCAACTGCAGGGAGCTGGGTGCTTCCAGGGTGGACAGTAAGGCCGTGGGTCAACTGTGATCTCCATAGCAAGACAGCTGGATGGTCCATTTCTATGGCCACCACAGTTCACCCCAGTGCAGGCACCTTGCAACCCACCTGCCCTCAGACCACACCCTCCCACTCCAGCAGCCCCGATTCCCCCCAAGACTCATTCCAGAGTCTTCTCAGCCCAGAATGCCCCGGTCTCCATTAAACTCCATTCTTTAGGACCACAGCCCTGGTCTCCCAACTCAAATCCTTCAACTTACCCCCAAACTTCCCTCATTCCAGACCCGCCTCAGACCCACCCCCAAATTATAGCCTGAGGTCCCCCAACTCACCCCAGGTTCCTGTTAAACTTGATACTTCATAATCACAACCTAGGCCTCCTATTCAGTTCAGGTCTCCCTAAGATCAGATCCTCCAACTTCTCCCCAAACTTTCCTCATTCCAAAACACCTTCATTCCAGATGCCCCCATGACTGCAGCCCAGGATTCCCCCATTCACCTAGAACAACACCTCTACTAGCCCACACCCCATCATGCCCACAGTCTGAACCCCCATTCCGCCTAGGACACCCCCTACCAATCATGCTCACAGCCCAGGCTCAGCTCCCCCAACCCTCTAGCACGTGTGTCTGCATACATGCACAAGTTCACACAAACGTATACACCCATGCCTTAGGAAAGGAGGTTGCCTGGTCTCCGTGGCTCCCAGAAAAGAGGCCAGGTGTCCATAAGCGATATCATCTCTATTGCAGGCTCCCCCTGGGCGCTCCTAATCTTCCTCCTCATCCTCGCCCTCTTCTCCCTCCCCTTCACCCTCAGTTGCCCCGGACATGTCCAGTAGACTGTCCTGGGGCTGAGACATGAGCACGCTGCCCACGGACGGGGTCTTCTTCTCGGTCACCGAGGGCACCTTGTCTTTAGACAGTAGTGAGACTGTTCTGGACAAGTTGCACTGAGCCTTCAGGAAGCTGGGCAGGTGCAGAATGTCCCGGCGCTTGGCCCACCTGGGAGCAGTGGGGAAACCAAAGAGAACCGGCTCAGCCTTCCCTTCCCCGACACGTTTGGGGCCTCAGGCACACTCCCAATCCCAACCCCACTTACCAGAACAAGCAGATGGTGGAGATGAGGAGCAGCAGTCCACCGCACGTCCAGCCCAGTGCCCACATGTGCTTCCGACGCATGGTCTCTGGACAGTGCGGCCAGAGGTCAGACCTGCACCAGGCCGGACACTCCCCCAACCCCCGGCATCCGGGTCTTACCATCTGGCCGCTGGTGGTAGCAGATGCCGTCCCGGTAGCAGCAGCGGAGACGTAGGCAGAGGTTGGGGTTCTCCATAGCAGCCTGCCCCCCACAGCTCTCCCGGTCCCACACATCACCCTCACAACCTGGGGGCAAGGCAGTACAGCCCCTCCTCCCTTAGATCCTGCAGTCCTGACCCCCAGTCCCTC